CATTCCTGGAACTAAGCCCAGCAGAGGTGGAAAAGGCCTGGAAAGCTAACACCACACAGCAGTTGAGGTCCCTGGATAGTGGCAGAGTGGGGGGAGAAATCCCACTTGCTTCCAGAATTGCTATATTTGAGGCTTTTGGACACTGAGTAAAGAAATTAAATGACAGGAAAAAATGTTGCTCTGTGCTGGTTTGCCAGAAAGGAGAGGGAAGTACAGAGGTAGAATAGATCTCAGCTATAAATTTGTACAAATGCCTGGCGTGTTTTACAAGGCTAACCTTGCAGTTTAGTGACTAGCAGGAGGAGGAACTTGCAAACAGATGGCCTGTTTCTCAAAGTCTAAGCAGCATTTTTCTCGTGTATGTCTTTGTCCTTGCGGAATCCTGTCTTTATGGATATCTTGTCCCTGTAATGCTGGTTCTCAGAGTGCATAGAGGTGAATGGACAAGGCTGAAGGCAGCAATTTCAAAAGCAAAGGTTACAACACAGGTAGTGTTATACTTCCTGTACCGCTGTTGTTTCTCATTTAGCTCAACAGAGGAGTGTCTGAGCAAAATAACCTGCACAGTCATGGGATAGACAGGAATATAGATCCTTTGCTAGACACAATTTGTCCATCAGAAAGAGTCACTTGGTATTTATTAAATATAAGTCGAAAAATACGGTACACTTATAAATGATCTAAGGCTTTGGTCGAGGTGGGTGGAGGACTGCAGTGAAACTTGCTGAGTACTTAACACAGTCTTTCACTTCCACTTTAAAAATTCAGAGAGATTACTAAAGTCACTGACCTCTAAAGTGAGAGAAGCCTCTAGTCTTTTTTTGCTTGTATAAATAAGCAATACAAATCCTCAGGATATAAAATATTTTCTGTACTTTTGACTTCTTTCAGGTTAATGGCCAGTGGAAAGGTCACAGTGCTGGAGGATGTGGAAATTTCAGAGACACCTACAAAAATAACCCCATTTATCAATTCCAGCTGGACAAGAGCGGGCCATTACTGATTGAGCTACGAGGACCGAGGTTTGTAGCCAATAAGTGTGCATCAACACAGCACGAGTATTACATGCTAAAGATAAAGCTTTTCAGTATCCTCCAGGGGGAGGGTGGGAAGCTCCCTGAAAATCCAGAAGACAAGGTGTGGAAGGTAGCTCAGATTTAGTACTATGTATGTTTCTATGTATGTGTCTATGGAGTAGACCTACACAGGTCAAATTCCATTGGCAAAATTCATGACCTACCTCAAAATATCAGAATAGAGGTCTTCTAAATAGCAACATCTCCTGAAAATGGATATGAGTGCAAAGGTGTGGCTCTGTAGTTTCTTTTTTGTTTGTTTTTGTTGGTGTGGTTTTTTTTTTTTTCCTTCCCCTGCACTTGCAGATCATATTTGGGCAGTTTGAATGACAGCGGCAGTGGTGCTTGTCACATGCATTAACAGGTAGTAGACAAACTGTCACAAGTTCTAGTGCAACATGAGAAATTCTCCTGAGATCACAGACATTCATTCCTCTGAGAGCGATCAGATCCCACCCCAGGATCTGTGGAATGTGGCACCAGAGTATCACACAGAATCACAGAATGTTAGAGA